CAAACACTCTCTCTCCCTCTTTCTCTCTCCCAGCCTCCCACTGCGACTCACTCTCTGTGGCCCAGTAGAAACCATGTTTCTCCAGGCAGTCTATGGCTTTTTCTCCCACACATTTAACACACTCACTATGCATCAAGCCTCATGTGCAACAACCATGAAGTAACGCCCATAGGCAAAGACACACATTCTCACACATACACACACATAAACACATTTTGATGTCATTCACATCGCAACAACAAAAAAAACCCGATCTTATTTCCAGCCCACCCACAGCAGCAGACCTCAGAAGAGATTCACGAAACACGCTGTGAACCTGTCAGAGAACGACAATGATGAAGATGAACCCTGCACCAGAGAAATATACGTGAAATACACGCCTCCGCTGCCAACAGGAGCACGCACACAAACCCACACACACACAAGAACGTCTTTTGGCCAAGTTATAAAATGAAGACTTTGCGTGAAATGGTTTCACCCTCACTTTTGTCTGCAGGCGGATCACAAGTGTCCAAGTCCTAACCTGCAGCTCACTCAGACTGACTCTCCTCCAGCTGGAGAGTTCTCACATAAATCAACATACTCATGCACCCCCCCTCCCATCACCCAGCAGCAGCAGCAGAAACAGTCACGTTTCTTTCTACTCACACAGTGGACGCCTCACCTCGACTCTCTTGCAGATCCTTTACAGGCTGGACTGAACATGCAGCTGTGAGAGGACGGAGCTGCATGAGCAGAGCAGTGGACAGAGCAGCTAAGGCTGGGAGAGGATGAGTGTGTGTGTGTGTGTGTGTGTGAAGGAGCGAGAGAGAGAGGTAGAGAGTTAGAGAGGGTAGGAGAGAGAGAGCATAGGGAGGGTACAGTGATAATGCACAGGAGCAGTATTATGAGATGAGAGATGGTGAGAAAATATGAGTGTGTGTGTGTGTGTGTGAGTAAATGAAAACTGCTGTTACCATGGAGAGGGCTAGGTTTAAGCTCCCCTGCAGCCTATTTAAAGGGATAGTCCACATTTCTATCTGTTGATTTCAGTAAATTAAATTTGACTTTTCTTTTTCTTAAATTTACTAAATAAAATAATAACTGTCAATTTAAAAAAATGATTGGAAGCTAAATCTATTTGGGATTTGCTAAATGTTTCTAAGACTTTGTATTAATTTATTGTAAGGGTTTATGACCAGAAGGCCCCACGCTCTGGTTGGTGTTACTTGCTAGTTAATTATTATTAGGTTTATTCTGGTTGGTGTTACTTGCTAATTAATTATTATTAGGTTTATCAACTAGCTACTAATTATTTTTCATTTCACTTTTTTTTTAAATTTGTTTTATCAACTGCTAATTAATAACCATTAAGTTTATTAACTGGGCGTTAAACAGGAAGTCCCTAAGTTGTTGTACATGACAACAGGTGAGTGAGAGCCAGACAGGACTCAGGGATGTTACCTGTGAGGCTAGCCCGGAGTCCTCCTCCTACAGCCATCGCTGCTAGCTTGTAGCGCGTCATCGAGTACATCGGACCAATTTCCTGTGTGTCATACACCGCACGACCCCAGGAATTGCGGTTGGTAATCTTGTCGAGTTTAAGGAATCTACCTCAGCTTCTCTCGAGAACATTCGACGATGGAGTTCTTTCCACTGTCTAGCTAGCTAGCCTGCTGTCCCGCCATTTATCGTAACTGAGATCCTCCCATATTTGCTACCGTTCGTTAGCATGGCTAAGTGCTGAGGACCTTATTCCTGTAACAGTACAGTTCACTCATGGTGCCGCTTTAATTAGTATGTATGTGTCTAAGCTGTGATTGGCTCAATTGATATTTACCTCCTGATTCGGTCTGTTTTTGAAGGCTTAAGTTAGGGTATTAATCTCGTGTGTGGAATTTAATATTTCAGGTACATTTTGTCGTAATTGGATTGTGTTTTATTACCCCCCCCCCCAACTCCTATTGTTCCTCCTCAGCCAATTTTTTTTTACTTTTAATATCATTATCCCAGGCGGACATTTTGACAAAAAATATTAAAAAGTCTGGGAGGAAAAAAATAAGCAAAATGAATGTTAGTTACACGAAGAAAGCTGGCCTTCCTGGAATAAAATGAAAGAGCGACCCCTACAGTCTGACTCTGCATGGTTCCCTCCTGTTAGGGGACTCTGGCGTTGTTAACATGTTGCAGCAGTACAGTGCGTGTAAAGGCAGCCTGTCAGAGTGAATAAAAATGATATTTCTCTACAGCAGCAGCAGCAGCATTTCAGGAGAGGGTCTTAAAGTAAAGGTCAACTCTTTTCATATGAGACACAAAGGCCAACAAACACCACAGGGTCAGTGTTGGTCACTATATCTCCACTGAAGTATAAAGGCTAGCAGATCAATAACAGAAACACACACACACACACATACAAAGAGTGATTCATGCGTGGCTCGCAGGCCACACTGCTGCACTGGTGTCCCCACACAGACATCAACCAACTCAACTCTAAACTATTTCATATTGATCCGTCTTCCGGCCCTCGGCTCTAATGACACACACAGAGAGCAGTCACGCTGAGGGAATAAGAGCGACAACACAGTTTAATTCCACACTCTGCTCGAGGGTAAAAGTCGCACAACAAGACCGGAGCTGTTGACTGCTGCTGAATCAAGTAACTGGCAATGAAAAGAAAGTCTATAACTAGAGATTGGGGCAATAAATATGTGTGTGTAAATATATTCAAAGTGTCATTCAATACATTCAAGGATTAATTCCATACATATACAGTATATATAAGTATATATACGACTGATGTATCAATAACAAACCTAACTAACAAAATTTTACAGCTTGCTTGCTAACGGCAAATTAACATCATGGCACTGACCTCGTTATTGGGTTGAAATTGATCGTAGTTTGTTTCACAGGTTGAACAACAAACTGTCAACACAGCACTACTGCCATCATTCCAGTGATCAGGAATGTGTTGCATAAGTGACGTCAACGAGTTAAAAAATGACAGAAATGACATGGGTAAAAAAAACATGACCCCAGCAGTAAATTGAATTATCCTCAGTGGTTGGTGTGTGTGTGTGTGTATATATATGAGTTCTAGACCGGAAATGTTAATACTGAATGTAGAAACGTCATTGAGTTTTTTTATTTAAATATCACATTTAATGTGTAGTAAAAAGAACCGTTAGGTTCTGTTGGATATTCTGGTCTGTACTTTAAAAACCAACTGAGATATGAAATGAATTCCACATGCTACAATGTGATGGACTAACTAAAAAACTATATATAATATATATAAAAATATATTAAACTTTATTTGATACTTTGACTTTTTTTTCCTAATATCGTACATACCGTAACTAGGTGATAGTTGCCAGGCTGTGGCACTGTGTTGAACTAACTACGGTGCACTCCTCTTCAGACCTTGTGGGTGTGTTAAAGAGAAAGAGAGTGAGAAGGAGATGGAGGGTGAGACAAGGAGAGAGAGCGGGGATGGGGGGGGGTTTGGGAGGGGCAGAGATGGGTTTTTATTTTACCTCCATCTTCTTCATCTCCAGGCAGTTTTGAGCTCTGGGATCCTCTGTGACTTCTAATTGGTTTTGGTGGTTGGGGTTTCCGTGGAAACCAGTTGGAAAATGTTGGTAGATCTAAGTGAGTTTGAGATTAGACTGACTCTAATGACCTACTGGAACTGACAACAGGGCAGAAAGACACAGGATATTGACACTAACTGAGGCGACTGTGATTCAGAAGACGTTCTATCAACCCTCCAATCTCTGAGACACTCCGTGAGTTCACGTTCCTAATTTTGGGCGAATTATAACGTGATCTGAAAGAGAGTGCGCGTGAGTGGGCTGTGACAGTGAGTGTTACCGCTGACATATTACCAGCTCTCTGACAGGACTAAATCTGTGAGCTGCAGTAACAAGCGTGGGAGGGATTTTGTCACGTAGCGAGAGAGAGAGAGAGAGCACACACAAAACAAATCTACGATCTACGACGTCGACACTATTTTTACCCCACTGTCGGCGTCCAGTACACCTTTTGGTTAAAACCCAGTTGGTTTTTCTTTTCAGGATATAAGAAAGCTACTTAAAGAAAAAAAGGTAATTGATGTGGTGAATTGAGATCAACTTTATATAAAACTAGAATCGTGACTGGTTATGGCTCAGGGAGAGTGACATAGACTGGGGGAGAAACTGTGAGCATGGGTTCAATTCCCAGACCAGGCACAACTGAAAGATTTAATAATTCAATAATTTCCCCAGTGTGTGTGGGATCAATAAAATTCGACCTTAGAAACCAGACAGACACCTGTTTTGTGAAAACTTTCAGCCTTTTACGACTGGAAACTAGAGTAAAGAGAGAAAATTAAACATTTATTCAAGATTTCCCAAGTGGTGAGTCATCTGTTACCAGGAGTATTGGTTAAGTGAGATAATTTCTGTAAAATAAGGAAAGACGAACGTTGCTACCCCCTGGTGGTTAAAACACAGACATGCATTTTGTGCTCTGAACATACTGTAGGTCAGAGGAACATAATAAGGGAAATAGGGAAATAAGTAAGCACAAAAAGATCAAATTAAATTTTTAGTTTTACCTGTCCTCAATCTTACATTATTTCACTCTGCAAAAAAAAATAAAAAATAGATGATATAAAAAGCTTGAGCAAAGTCATCCAAAATTAACCAATAGCCCTTCTTGCTGGAGAGTAAGGCATAATCCAAATTAAACTGAATAAAAGTTTCCATGTCTTTCAAAAAATGTATTGTTGGAATTTTTAGATGTGAATGAATGTGTGTTTCAGTGTGTTCTCAAATACGTACCTGGTTCTCTGTGGAACGTCAGTAGGCCACCGGAGATGGACATTCTAAACTATGATCACACGAATATTGACGGAATATTTCGGGTATTCATACAGCGGTACTCCATGGAGCTTCCAGAGTCTTTGACCTGGAAGCTCCTCATCCTTTTCTTAATTTTTGTCCATGGTTGTAACACACACACACACACACAAAATAACTTTTAAGATTCGTTTAGCAGACACATGCTACACTTTAATGTTTGGACAAAACTATCTTTGATAAAAGCACAAACCTGAACAACAGTTGTCTGGTTACATGGCTGTTCCTACACAGATCTAGTGCAAATACGTCAAGGCACACGATTAAAGTGATACAAGTGAAGAATTAAGAACCTAATATTGAGAGAAACACGAGCAAGGCCTTAAATCCTTGTTAAGTGCGCTAGTCAGTTGTACGTGTCTAAACACATGTTTGTTACAGTTATGGCTGTGATGGCTGGCCCTTTAAATAATAGGCTTTTTTATATTGTAGGTCACTTATCAATACTGTGTCTTTGGCAGGGCTGCAGAGGAATAAGGCAATGAACGTCACTGCTCAGAGACCCAGGGCATCTTTCTGCACACTGAAACCCAACAGTGTGTTTCCAGCTTCCACACACTCCACCACGCTGGGAGCTAACAAAAAAAAAAAAAAAGATAAAAATAGTAAATAGTAAATAAGTCCTTTCAAACTGAGCATTTGAACAAAGAACTTTTCTTACCATTCTGAGCACGGAGCCACGAGGCAGCCTTCAGAGCCAGAAGTTCCCACTCATCCTTGGCCTCCATCTTTGATCCATGAAGCCAGATCAGAGCCAGGATGGTGGCCCAAACATCATTGTTCACCTAATTACCACAAAACACAAACGCAAATAATCCCCTGATTATCAAAATGGATTGATCAAATGAGCTGCAATGCTGCCATCTAGTGACATTCACTTTCACATACAGCTGTTTTTCTCCAAAATTATTTTTAGGGCACACATTAATTGGCGAAAACCCAGGTATTGCGTTATCGGTTTTCATTATTATTCATTACATAATTAAGCTAATATCTGGTCGATAACATCGGTTGGCCGATATTAGATATTATCGGACATTCCTAGCTAAATTGCAAATACGCATTAAATAGTTGTGTGTTTGTTGGCATCAATTCTCCTGTCGTGACAAAGACTCACAGCCGAAGGTTTTTTCTTTTTCAACTCCTTGCTGGGTTTTCCCAGAGCTGTAGCCAGAGCGGCATCCAGCATCCAGCATCCAGACGCCTTTTGTAGAGAAACCAGTTCCAGCAGAGGGTCTCTAAGTGGCTTAGCAATGGATTTTTCTACTCTAGATGAAGGTGCCAAATACATTTTGGCAGCTGGGAAAGAAAAAGAAAAGAAAATATATAATTATTTGACAGCTCACATCAGAACATCTCTGACTACTTAAATATTTTTCCTACTTAGTAAATTGTGCCTACGGTCCAGAGAAGACGCAAGTGAAAGCTCTGCCACTGTCGTGTTTTACAATATGACATATGCTTATGTTACGTTATGTTTTTTCCACTATATTCTATCACTTGGTGTAACAACAGTATACAATATAATCCATATATCGATATATAAATAATCTTCTAGTTTAAATGATCTCATGATTGACTCAAACCTCAGTCTGTTTGGTTGAAGATAACGCTGATATACTGGCAGGAATTGAAGAAAGACAAAGATCTTCTTCAACAGCTCTGATTATCATTGTTTTAATTAATTTTCATAGCCTTCTACTGCCACCTAGCAGAAGAGGATTTAACTTTTCTGCCTTTCACGCTTTAATAATTATTTAGTAATAAATAAATAATAGTTTTGGGAACAACTAAGTGAAATTGGTTAATTTTTCCACAGCAGTACTACAGTATGTACTTGATGATGCAGGTAGGACCTCTACTGATTACAGTTGGGACTGTAGATTTTGGTCACTATTAGACTGTGAACAACTATTGGTATAAACTTTAACATAAGTTGACACAGAAAGAAAGTTATTGGGTTTTTTTTTAATCCTGTAAATAAAAAATACCTTCTAGTGATTCATCTGCTGCATCAAAGCAGACTGAACTCGCCGCCATTGGGGAGTAGTATGCTGTAGGACAGAAGAAGTGTTCTGTATAACAAATGGCTTTTCACTTTCAATATTTCATGTTTTGTGTTTATTAAAAACAGCAGTTCTGTTGGAAATGTGTTTAAATAAAAGTTTTGGTGTAGTTTTAAAAACAACAGCTGTGAATGTGTTGATCTGGGGGTTACAGTAAAAATCCCATCATCATTCAGAAGGGAAGAACTGAAGAAAAAAGTTTTATCAACCAATGCAGAAAAGAGATCAGTCAAAGCACAAAGTGGCTGATTAAAAACAAACAAAACATCCATAGCATGATGAAAAACAATTGTTTTTACCAGCAGCCGGAGGACAAGGGGCACTTCTACAGCTCCTCATCTTGGGCACGGAACAACTCATGTACATCATGGGCATCATTGCAAATGCTGAAAGGAAATAAAGTCGATTCAACTAAGGTTCACAGGTGAGGGACAGATCTTCTTTTACCTTATGAGAAAAGGTAACTTTCACTTTTGAACACTCACCTGGGATCGGGACATTTCGGCGCGTCAGGGGTCCTTTGATTGGTTCATTAATGTCTTTGTTGACAGCAATGAAAGCAGTAAAGGAGCTGCTGACGCCTGATTGGACACTGAGCTCTATCACCTTCTTCTTGAGTCCTTCTTCAGGCTGTCCACTCTCCTCCCTCTGCTCTGCTTCTAGGGCACGGATCAAAGTCTGAGCCGCCAACCTGTGGACTGTTAATCTGCAGACACACACACACACACACACAGAGATAAACAGTCTGATAGCAGTGGGCAGAGACAGTCAACTCCAACATAAAGGTCTTCCCTCCACTAGCTGTAGCAAAAACCATGGGGAAGTTTTTAAAATGAAAAAAAATGAACCGTCGTTTGCACTTTTCTAGAAACATATTTTTGAGTCAAGTTTAACCGAAGATACGGCTGTTCTCCGACATTTCAAAGAAAATGACAATAAAACTTTGGACCATAAAAACTTTAAAAAGGGAAACATGCTACACATAATGAGTTAGTTTATGTGACTGTGTTCTGTTTTTACCCAGTGTCCTTTGCAGGTTTGAGACTGAATTTCAGCTGGTTCTCAGTGGGATGACCTGCCAGACTGTACTTCACCGTCACACTGCCCTCTGCTGCCTCTGAGCTCTGAAAACAGACAGTCAGATAGTATCAAATATCACTTTAATACGGAGCTTTGAACATTGTTTTTGCAGATCTGAGATAACTTTTATAAAGAGTTCACACATAGGATTACCAAGATAAATCTTAACGGAATGTAAATATATATAATAAAAAATAAAGTTTATAAAGTTTACTTGTGCAGTAAATTTAAAAATGTGTCTGAATTCTGCCTTTTTATCACCTTCACTACAGTAGGTCTCGGCAATTCATGAGCAGCAAAATTCAAAAATGTAAATGCTAGACTTTAATTTTAGGAACTGGAGGTAATTACTAAAGGATGAATATTAGCATTTTATTAATAACTAACAAGTAATTTATTATCTTTGTTGACTAAAAACCATGTCTCTCTCTCTCTTCTCTCTGCTGTCTGTCTATTGGTGCTCTTACCTGTCCAATGAGCTGGGCATAAATCAGTGACCTCTGACCCTGGAAAATGGATGTGAGTGGTGTAGATACAACATTTGCAGACACTCCCTTGGGCAAATGCCATGAGACTGAGATGTCCTGCACTGCCGGCTGCAGAGCAAACCTCAGGGACTGCATCACCTGACGGAAAGAGTCACCGGAAACAGTCAACGGAAAAGAATAGAAACAACAGAAAATGTCGTACTTCATGACTTTGTTACCTTGGGCTGCATTCTGTCCGTGCCTGTAACAAACTGAGCGTGACCTCGTCCCTCTTTGGCCAACCCGTTGATGAGAGCAGAGCTCGCTCCCTCACCAATCCCAAAAGAGAAACATCTGCAACACAGTTGTTTTCGTGTGAGACGTGTAAGTCTGTGGTTTAAAAACTTCTCTCTCGTCTCAGATTTGGGAAAAAAAAAGAAAAGAAACAAATAAAATGATGATAGAGATAAAGACTTTTCTGATGAGTTAATCAGCCAGACTGTTTGTCCTGGGAGTAGAACACGAGTAAGAATGCTGTCAGACTGGATGAGTAATGAAGGGGGTTCCGGTAACTGCACTGCCCCACCCTCTGACCCTTGTGTCAGAGGGTGGGGCTGCAGTATTATATGTTTGGGCTTTAGCTCTTAATGCTTGTATAAGCACATCTTATTCACTACGCAAATATGCAGTAATGTCACAGGTCAGATGTAAAAAAAAAAACACCATAGGAAGTCTGGTTTTCGCTCGTGTATTACAGTATATATGGAAGTTAATAGAGTGTAACATCTTATATTTTCGTCTTCCTGGGATCAAATGGTTGTGAACGACTTTGCAGCGTACATCATTTTAAATGAGTAAATATGAATTAATATTCAGTAGACAACGACCAATCAGTGAAGATAAAAATTATATATATATATATATATAAGAAAATACAAGCAGAGGGCAGCACCCCTGCATACAAACACACTACAGTGCGGAAAAACTGTGCTTGTTTTACCTGTGGGAGCCCGAATTCTTCTTCACTAGATCTAACACTTCTTTGGTGTTGCAAACCTCACCGTCAGTGAAGACAAACAGCTGTGAAAAGGAGGACATTCACACAGAGTTACATACCTTAAAGAACAATCATGAAATAACTTAAACAACACAGGCGTGGTGAATGTTGGATTCCAAGAAGTTCTTGCTCAATGGTTGGGTTCTGTAGAAACCATCAATCAGTGATTTCTGACAGATTGAATTATAAGCTGTCTGACGTGTCCAGCAGTTTTTGTTTGTTCACTACACGTTGCACAAGTCAGAAACAAAGGCATCAGTTGTTATCAATGACTCGGGTAAAATCCACAGCTCTGCATTGGTTTTCTTTATCTGTTCTGAGACAGGAACCGCTATCAGTGGCTCGGATAAAAAGGTAGAAAACTATTATTTATTTATTGCATTGCAAATTTTTCTACACTCGTCAAAGCATGAAAGGCAGAAGAATTGAATACTCTTCTGCTAGGTGGCAGTAGATTGCTATGAAAAAAAAAATTGAAGCTAATGAAGAAGATCTTTGTGAGTGTCTTTCTTCAATTCCTGCCAATATATCAGCACTGTCTTCAACTAAATAGGCCAAGATTTTAGTCATTTGTTTGGTGATGTGCTGTGAGGTTTTTCCCGATGATATGTAGGTGCCGTGGCTGAAGAAATACTGTACAATGGAACTAACACATTTAGCAAATGGCTAGAAAATAATACATGACATTCAGGGAAATAAGAGGCAGGTTCTGGCTATGTAAAAAAAACAGATGCAATGGTGTAAAACTATTGTTTCTAAAAAAAAAAAAGAAGTTACTTGTCGGGGCTGATTAGGAATACAGGTCTGGCTGTAGATGTGTTTGAGAGGCTGAAAGATCTCTGTTCCTCCCAGATCAGCGTCCATCGCCTGAACTTTCTTAAGAGCTTCTTCCAAGGTTCCCTCACTGTACTCCACGCTCTTACTGCGAACAAGAGACACCGACACAGCAGATCAGTGAAAAGGATGCACACAGTGACCTCTCTCATGGATGACAGCGCTACATTTCTAAACGGCGTCACGGGAGTAACTTACGGGAAGATGTGTTCGAAAGTGGACCCGAAGCTGTAGATGTTAAAGTAGCAGCCCATCGGCAAGCTCTTCAACAGGAGCAGCAGAGTATCCTGTCAGAGAGAGAACACAGATGTTGAAGATCTAGATTTGGAATTAACGGGACAGTGTGACGACCATGGAAAAGTCAACACTGAATACCCTTGCACTGCCAATGCGGGTCTCTTGATGCTTGCTGTTGCTGGTTGGACAGTCCATGCTGCCGGACCGATCCAGTAGGAAAACAAACTCTCCACATGATGCGAGTGAAGATATGACAGTCTGAGGAAACTCAGGATACAGACTCAACATCACTGCTGGATCACCCATCAGAGTCCCTGGTTGAAGAGATTGACACACAGACACACATTTGTACCCACACACGTGTAAGTCGGCTGGTACATACTGTAGGCCAGTGTGTGTCGTGAAAGACCGTTAGGTTTGGCTGAAAACTATTTATTCCATATTTTTATTTGCTTATAAAAGCATGGAAGGCAGAACAATTTAATTATCTTTTGCTAGGTGGCAGCATATGGCTAAAAAAAAGATAATAATCTTTAGATAAAAGAAGATAATCGGAGCTGTTGAAGAAGATCTTTTTGAGTGTCTTTCTTCAATTCCTGCCAGCATGTCAGCATCGTCTTCAACTAAACAGGCTGAGGTTTTAGTCAATGATGAGGTCGTTCAAACTAGAAGATTATTATAATTCATTACATAGACTTTTTGTGAGACTGAAGTTTGGTGGTGTGCCGTGGGGTTTTTCCTGATTTTATATACATGTGCCATGGCTCAAAAAAGGCAGATTATATTAAACTGTAACCTCTGACGGAGTGACACTCACCAGCTTTGGCAGTCGCCTGCCCTGCCTCCACCACAGCCGTGGGCTGATGAGCATCTTTGTAATAAATCAGCAGCTCAACGTCTCTGTCGAACTTGTGTCCTGCTGCCAACTTCACCTGCAGTTCAGACAACATACACAAATGAACATCAGCAAAGTTTCATGTTGACGATGAGGAACAAAGACACACAGCAGACACATTAACGGTCGACCTACAGTGGCCTGGTTCTGCTCTGTGTTCAGGTACTGGAGGGGCTCCAGAGAACAGTTGGACTCCACTTTAGAGACTGGGCGAGGAGAGGACACTCGAGCACAGAAGGACAGAGTGTAGGGCACAAGAGAGGCTGCAACCGGGGTCACCTGGACACTGGTACTTTCACTGCCTGGAACAACAGGAGGACACAGTTCAAGACTTGTTGTCCCTTCTTTCATAAAAAACACCAAACAATAGACAACTGCGACTTATACTCTGGTTCTAAAACAATTAGAATTAGTTAGAATTAGTATTTTAAGTACATTTTACCAAATCAGAAAAAACCAACAAGTGATTTTTGTGGGCTGAGCCACAGATCATTGTGGAAACTTACAGAAAAAAAGGCACTAACATTTAAATGAGTACTTTTAATATTGTAATAAAATATATTATTTTTATTTGGAATAATTATATTACTTATTTTGGTTTTGAAGGCAAAAAATGATAATGTTTCTTACCTTGAGGGCAGTAGCGGGGGTTCAGCACAGCAGGCAGACAAAACCTGAGCCCGTCATCGGCCTCTACGGCCAGCTCAGTGACATACTCCAGCCTGATGGCGGCGCTCTCGCCCGGGGCAAGACTGCCCACGCTCAGAGTGAATATATCTGGACTCTGATCGCTCTCCTCCAATAGGAAAGCCTGATGACCGGAGCTGAGTGCGTCATCGTACTCCTCACGAGCCTAGAACACAGACGGCACAGACGCGTCATAGCAGCGTTCACTGGGGTCACACACACACACACACACACACACTGCCCTGCCTCCACCACAGCCGTGGGCTGATGAGCATCTTTGTAATAAATCAGCAGCTCAACGTCTCTGTCGAACTTGTGTCCTGCTGCCAACTTCACCTGCAGTTCAGACAACATACACAAATGAACATCAGCAAAGTTTCATGTTGACGATGAGGAACAAAGACACACAGCAGACACATTAACGGTCGACCTACAGTGGCCTGGTTCTGCTCTGTGTTCAGGTACTGGAGGGGCTCCAGAGAACAGTTGGACTCCACTTTAGAGACTGGGCGAGGAGAGGACACTCGAGCACAGAAGGACAGAGTGTAGGGCACAAGAGAGGCTGCAACTGGGGTCACCTGGACACTGGTACTTTCACTGCCTGGAACAACAGGAGGACACAGTTCAAGACTTGTTGTCCCTTCTTTCATAAAAAACACCAAACAATAGACAACTGCGACTTATACTCTGGTTCTAAAACAATTAGAATTAGTTAGAATTAGTATTTTAAGTACATTTTACCAAATCAGAAAAAACCAACAAGTGATTTTTGTGGGCTGAGCCACAGATCATTGTGGAAACTTACAGAAAAAAAGGCACTAACATTTAAATGAGTACTTTTAATATTGTAATAAAATATATTATTTTTATTTGGAATAATTATATTACTTATTTTGGTTTTGAAGGCAAAAAATGATAATGTTTCTTACCTTGAGGGCAGTAGCGGGGGTTCAGCACAGCAGGCAGACAAAACCTGAGCCCGTCATCGGCCTCTACGGCCAGCTCAGTGACATACTCCAGCCTGATGGCGGCGCTCTCGCCCGGGGCAAGACTGCCCACGCTCAGAGTGAATATATCTGGACTCTGATCGCTCTCCTCCAATAGGAAAGCCTGATGACCGGAGCTGAGTGCGTCATCGTACTCCTCACGAGCCTAGAACACAGACGGCACAGACGCGTCATAGCAGCGTTCACTGGGGTCACACACACACACACACACATATATATATATATATATATATAGTATATTTAAACAGAGAGACAGTGAAACCACAGTCAGGAGCTCACCTGCTGTTTCTCCTTCACCTCAGCCACGATGTGTTTACCTCCAATCTTAGCACTGAAATGACAGACGGCAGCATTTCCGGGCAGCGGAAAGACAAAAACAGCTTCTACTGGTTTGTCCTCCTTGTTCTCATAGTTGAGGTTGGAGACCACTGTAGCCACATGGTCTCTCACCTCCACCTCCACCTCGATGCTCTTCAAAGGAACTGGCACAGGAACACAAAGAGTTGCAAGAGAGATGAAATTATCTGGTGTCAAACACTAAAAACAACAGAAGAAGAAGAATTTAAAAGCTACTTCTAATTGTTCTGGCCATTTGGTTACCCACCTGGTTCGTTCTTAGCCGTCACAAGACCACAGCAAACCATTATTCCTAGAAAAACAACACAAAAATTGAATGAGTTTAAGATGAATTATACAGGAAGTTAAATATAAAAAAATACAGAAAATCATTTCACTCTGGCTCGAGCGTCACAGTCCAGTACCTGGTATTTTTCACTTTAAAAAAAAGCTTCACGTGAAATTACTACCTTGTACAAATACTTTTAAGACGTGGACCAAGTATTAAAACTTTCACAGTAGGGATGAACTTGGTAAATAAACTTAAATCACGTTTTAGATTTTTCTGCTGCATAAATACTCAACTTTTTTTTCCACCATCGGTTGTATTGTATGTAGAATTTATTTTTATTTACCTGAATCGTAAGAAGTTTATTAAACTAAACACCCTAAAACCGTTTCGTCACCCTCTCGATTTCAGTTTCGATATTGATTTAAGAATTTAAGACGAACCGTTCATTTTGTCTCTATTTCCCCTCCAGCCGCACCTTTAGGTTTTAAACTAACATCTATCTTACGTCATCGCTATTGACAGTTTTATTATGTTATTCTTCCGTTCTTCCATACTTTTATGTTGAATTATTAATAAAAAGTTAAAGGGATGAAGGTATGACTTGTCTACTGTATATCTTGTAATAACTGCGCCATAGCACACTGGCTAAAGGCTACTTGCCTCAAGTACGTCATACCGAATTATTTAGATAATAAATAACAAAACTCACCGGCTATTTTTTGTATCTTTAAGCGTCTGGGAGAGTGTGTTATTCAGAGACAGTCCTGTCCGCTGTAGCAACTTCAGAATTCTGGAGGAAACCAGAAAGGGTCTTGAGGTTCCTCCTGTGTGCGCTTGGTTTTAATACAACGCTGCATCGACTGGGCGGGGCTCTCGACGAGTTGTCGGTAAAAGCGTGACGTACAAAATAACGAATTCTCCAGAATTGTATTACTATTATTATATACACATACGTATACATATATATACACACACACACACACACATATATATATACATACTTTATAAACATTTTAAATTGTAAAATATTATATAACAAATGTTTCGACAGAGGTCCTGAGGCTGTTATGGGAAAAGTTTATTTAAAAAATATATATTGCAAAGATGACACCCAAGGAAATAACAGAATAATAATAATAATAATAATAAAAACCTATAACCACTGTAGACGTGTACAGTATAGTACTCAACTATATCAACCGTATCAACCCTACATACATTTGGAAAGCAGATCACAATCATAGAATAAACTATAACACGGACAGACTGTGATAATGCTTTACAAGAGCTGTTCCATTTATAGGTTTTCTTTTTAGTGGCTGTAGGGTGTAACCTTCTCAAACAGTGACCAGGAAGTGGGTTCTAACCTCACCTGCATATTTTCCGTAATCACAGTGTGTGTGTGTGTGGTGTGTGTGTGTAGATGTAAATGAAGTGATCTATGTTATGCATGAGGTTCTTATCGCAACTTCGTTAATCGTAAATCGTCATAAACGTTCAAATGCTCCCTCCTGGAATAGTTGCTGGATGTGTGCACAGGTGTGGAGATATAGGGCCGGCAGATGGACAGACAATGTGGACAATGTAAAAATTGCTCATGTAAATTATTAAGTCAAAATCCCAAGTTGCCCTTACCACTAAAAAAAACAAATCACAATCACAACTGTTTCAGGGATGCTGCTCCAGGACGAAACCCTGAGCAGAGACAACCTGGAACCCACATGGAGGATGACATCAGACCAGTCCAGACTGGCGTAAGGGGGGGACAAGACAAGGAAAAGAACCAGAATGCTCTTCTTGCCCTGCTCCTCTGTCCCTGACTGCCCTCTTCATCGGCAACAGAGACGGCAGGTACTGGTGATCTTGGAGAGAGGACGAGGTGGACAGGAAAACTTGACACAGATGCCACATTGGAAGTGGGGGTAAGTATCTGTTGCCCCTCTATGCGCTGCCATAAGAGAAAGAGGCTAACTAGGTAGAGAAGAAGAGGCTGCAGGCCATGCAGTAAAGTTTTTTTTTGTGTCACTAGAAGAGCAACAGCTATGGAGACAGAAGTGGGCGGGGCTGCCCCGCTTAGTAATTTATTCGACCCTTTTGTGGTGAATCAATGCACCGTGCAATAATGGAGGGGGGGTAGGGATGGGCACGGATGGGACGTTCCCTCGTCTTTTGGTGAGGACCCTCACCAAGAAACACGCTCAAGACGGTGCGGCATCATCTCCTGAGAGCTTTTTTTTTTTTTTTTTAAATGGTGGCGTTTTTTTTAATCTGGTGAGGAATTAGGCAGAGACAAAGACGACTACATAATATTTGGGTACACAAACGAACGAAATGAAAGTGGGTCGTGGTTGTGATGCTGCTTTAACTCTGACATCTACACGTTCATTTGCACTTAGTCTTCAGAGGAAGCCGGACTAAAAGTCTGTGGTGAGCATATTTACATGTATATGGAATTTACTTCTGTGGAAATTTGTGAAGAAACACGATACAAAACTGATTGGTTTGACAGGACATGCCGTGACAAGTTGAGGTGACATGTTGATGTAAAGTTTTGAAACAATTTAAAAAGCTGTGCAAAGTTAAAGGTTGTTTTGCATCATTCCTACGGAGGCGGTGAAGGTTCTTTCGCCATCAAATCAATTAAAAGTGATTTAGTGGACGGTTGCTGACAGAGTGGAGGGAAAAGCAGCCTGGGACACATGCTTTGTTTCGGTGTCCCACAGCTCAGACTATGAGAACAAAGGCAAAGTATGTGAATAAAATGGGCAAAGAAACAATAGGGGCCTCAGTGTAGACGTAGCTCACAGAGACGTGAGGAGTTTTCAGCGGCGTGAGCGATGACAGGAAAGGACAACAACTTCCACCGCCATGGCAAAGCTAATTAAAACCTTATATTTATAGCAAATATATACTGGTCTACAGGCGAACCATGTAACCACATTGGCAGAAACAGGAAAAGTCATGTTGTAAAAAGTTTGAAAAAGTAAACAAATACTTTGTGCAGTTTGGTGTAGAGACCAGCTTTGATTAACACATAACTGATCACTGCACTGTTGAACGGTTGTTGGACTGGATCCATTAAATATACATATATATATATGTATATATATATACATATATATATATGTATATATATATACATATATATATACATATATATATACATATATATATACATATATATATACATATATATATATATATATATATATGTATATATATATGTATATATATATGTATATATATATGTATATATATATGTATATATATATGTATATATATATGTATATATATATACATATATATATACATATATATATACATATATATATATATATATATATATATGTATATATATATGTATATATATATATGTATATATATACATATATAGGAGTGGTGGCACATACTAACACACACCCTATGAGTCAGTATTCCCGGGTGAATTTAATGGATCCAGTCCAACAACCGTTCAACAGTGCAGTGATTAGTTATGTGTTAATCAAAGCTGGTCTCTACACAGTACAAATTGTTGTAATATAAATATAAATAAAAACACATTTTAAGTGTTTTTCTTCACACAGGTAGGATGTGACCCACGCAGCCCACATCCTAGGAGAAAATGTCAAATTTCCGAGAAAGACTGTGTGTGAGCTCCAGGATCCCAGGGTGCTGGTTTATTCTTGTTCACCTGGTTCTGCTGGCCCCACCGTGTGTGGGATTCCTCCCAAACTTTTGGTCTCGGGTTTTAACAATGTCCTGGGACTCACAAACTCACCAATACATCACAGAGCAGGCCGTTCTCAATGTCACCATGGAGACAATCAAGGCTACCGTGAATCTCCATGACAACCAGGCAGAGGAGCAGGTGGAGTAAGATATTTAATACGAAAAAAAAAACTACTTGAATTTTTAATCACTTCTTTATCCTTTCCAGATGAGACTGGGCCGCAGCTTCTGGCGAGCTGTAGGGGAAGTGGTGAGGTCTAATGCGGCAATGGACTTCCTGAGCTCCACCAGGTCCGACCCGGTGTACCACTTTGATTCAGAGCGGGTAGAAAGCGCCGTGGAATTGCTGCGGCAGTTCTGGACTCATACTTTGCTGTCAATACGGGCCAAAGAGTACCAGAGCGCTCGCCGCAGTCTGGGCCAGCTGTTTCACTCCCTGCAGGTACGCATCCACAGCACAGGCAACATACGCTGCCCTCTGCAGGTAAAGTTCAACCTCAAAGAGCTGCATCGTGTGTGTCATCACAGGACTTCTACAGCCACAGTAACTGGGTGGAGATGGGTCAACAATCCATATACCTCCACCTCCTGCAGCCAGAGGAGCCCGCCATCCCTGTGGCTAAAGGTTAGCTTCACATCTGTGAAGTCCCTCTCACATCAGGAAACCACTGCTGTTACTTTAGGGATGTCCGATATCATCGACCCGATATTAGCATATTATATCTGTAAGAGTCGTTATCGTTTTCTCCTCCGGCAATGAAAACCCTGATAACGCAATGTCTGAATTTTGCCAAATGATGTTTTAGGGAAAAACAGCTGTATGTGAAAGCCACTAGATGGCAGCATTGCAGCTTATTTTAATAATCAGGGGATTGTATGCAACAACTCATACAGTGGTTTGTACAGATAAACAAATAAATATTAACAGGCCCTCAATAGTATTTCAATTCGGAGGGAGGGAGGTGGTGAAAAAACTGCCCCTAGGGGGAGCAAGGCAGAAAATAATTGAGAAACATTACTTTAACTTTGTAAAGACGAACTGCGCTTTTCAATCTTTGTCTTTCCAGAGGACACTCCCACCTGTATGGAATGTGTCGGCGCCACCTGCAGGAATAATCTCCTACCAAGACTAACCAAAGCCCCGCGTCCCGCTCAGCTGCTCACCACCGGTTACTTCAGCACCTCCCCTCCAAAACCTCAGGGTGAGTGTGGACTTTACTGCAGACACTTCATCTGAGGTCCTGATATTTTATATATTTTATATCTTTATCTCAGGAAAATGCAGTCATGGAGGTATTCTGGACAGCAGTCGTCATCAGGGGGCTAGAGGGGGCATCAACAAAGACAGCACCTCCCCTCTCTTCTCGCCTCACTATCATCTCCACGCGGAAGCTGCTCATTTGGCGAGTGAAGCCACCATGAGCGTACTGAGAGACCTCAGGGATACAGTCGGCCACGAAACTTTCCTCCGGTGAGTTTTACCTTTGTTTAGTAACAGTTTTACGATCCCAGATATACATAAAACGTCCTTTCCCCCCTGTGGTTCGACAGACTCTTCAGTGTCCAGCAGGAACCGGCCTTGGTCTTTGTCATGGACACCACGGGCAGCATGTTTGAAGAGATCACAGCGGCCCGCCTCAGGGCTCACTCCATCATCCAGAACAGAGCTCACAGCCGTGGGCAGCCGGGCACCTTCATACTGGTACCCTTCCACGACCCAGGTCAGGGGTCTAACAATAAACCTTCTAAGAGAATTGACATCACAGTCAGACACAGGCAAAAGAGAACAAAAAGCAATATTAATTAAAATAGGTTCTTAGACTCAAGATCAGGAAACGGAGCCAGAACCAGAACCAGAACCGTGTCACTCTCCAAACACCGTTTGTGGTGAAAATCAGCAAAGACACAGTCACTGGTCGACTGCTACCTCACAGGAACAAACATTTTACTCTAACCTCCAAAGTCACAGTAATTATCTGAGCTACTGATCAATCACAATTCATCAATCACTTGTAATCATAATTTAACAGGTTTTTAAATCATTTTTGAAATGTGGAATCGTATTCATTTTCTCCCAAGCCTCGGTGTTACTCTTTAATTTCTTGATGGACATCGAGAAACATTCAAGATTTGCTTCAGTATTTAACACATCATTAGAAGAAACTCAACTTTGCCCTAAATCTGGACTCAACCATTCCACAATCCGTCTGTTTAACAACACGACTCTGATGTACTGTGAAGGTGTAGGACCGGTGTATGAGACTGAAGACCCGAACCAGTTCATGATGCACCTGGAAAACCTGATGGCACTTGGAGGTGGAGACGAACCGGAGATGTGTCTTTCTGCCGTTCAGGTAAATAGTCTACTACTTTGTTTTTTTTGTTTGTTTTTTTTAGCTTTTTTTAACTCCCTCTGTTAATCCTGTGACTGAGTCACAGATTTTTTTTATTTTCTTTGGCCACCTTCTGGCTCTTAGTCATTTAATATGTAACCATACAAGGTTTTTGAATGTCTGACATGCAACTCTTGTCACTTGTCTACAGCTGGCACTTACCCAGAGTCCACCTCTCTCAGAGATCTTTGTCTTCACTGATGCCTCGCCTAAAGACGCTCACCTGTTTGACTCAGTAAAGGCCCTCACACTCGAAAAACAGAGCAAGGTAGGTTTAAACGTCACACTTTATGCCAAATCCTACTTAGGGTTCTTGGTAGTCACCAGGTGACCAATCACATTAACCCCTAACATGAACGGTACTTTACACAACTAATGTTATATTTAATAAACAAAGACTGGGAACTCACAATGCCAAGCATCACTTCGACCGTCAACAGACCAGGGAACCATGTTCTTTGACACAAATTTAGATTTACTTGAGTCGGATGTTAAGGTGGACCGAAGACTTTCTGTGTAAACAGTAGCCAACTACAAAATATGGAGCAAATGAAAGTGATATGAAAGTAACTAAAGTGACTTTTAGACGGACATGTTACTGGATAGTCAAATGCTAATAGTTCCACGAGCGTGATGCAATGGTGGTTGACCACAGACTGAAACGTGTCTGGGCTGCATGTGACCCTCGGGCCAAAATTTGAATAGGATCTACAGTGACAACAAAGCCAAGTGGACCTGTCCTGTACCGTCCTGTACTGTACTCTACTGTGTTGCCAGTGATGAAGTATCATGTTCCGACCTCATTTGTCTCTCAGGTGACTTTTCTCATAACCAAAGATCCGAGCCATACTGCTGCGGGGAGAGGGAGGAGAAAGAGGAGCAGAGTCAGGGAGTATTTGTCTCCTGATCGTTTCTCGCTCTATTCCTCGCTCTCTGCTGTGTCTGGAGGACTGACCATCTTCACCACCAAGGCTGACATCCACAAAGTCTCAGCCATACTGGAGGACAACACGGCGGCTGACAAGGTAGACAAACTGAACCAAATGGACTGATGGACAACAGAAGAGCATTTGTTTATGATTAGAAATGTATAATTTCTCAGCCCATCTTTCCTGCAGGTGACGCTACTGCAGGTGGAAAACGCCCAGAACCTCATCTCCACTCATGCTTTTAAGGTTGACCGCTCTGTGACGAACATCACAGTCCACGTCACTGGCACCATGATAGAGTGTGTTCTCACCAACCCTTCAGGTAAAGCAATAATTTACCAAATACTGTTTATTTAGAGCAGTTCTGTTTTTGTTTTTTTACTTTGGCACTCATTCTTCACGTCGTGTCAGAAAATCATAGATACATTTTTCAAAAACGACCATGATTGATGATCAATTTACTGTTTTTAGACCAAAGCCAAGCTCTGTTGAGTGAGAGAGGCCCTCTGGCCGAGGTGGAGCAGTTTGAAGGTCTGTACCGCATCAGTCTACGTCCTCCCATCGAGGCAGGCCGGTGGAGAGTCGACGCCAAGAGTGACGGACGCCTCACATTTAAAGTGATAGGTATAAATAAAAAAATATTGCTGGGGTCGGGGTGAGTCGGACTATATACGGTGCACTGAGTTAGCTTAGCTTCCTGGGAAATGTTCCAGGTCTCGGTAATCAATGGGAAACACTGCGATTTTATAGGGCCTAAAACCCCTGGACGCTAGCAAATTTTTCTGTTCAGGTCTTTTTATTTTTGCGATGAATACATTTTTAACGATCTGTGTTCCAACAGGTGACAGCAGGGTAGATTTCCTGTATCACTTTGCTACTGTAACCAATGAGACACACCCGGGTCTGGCCAGAGTGGACGGCAGTCCAGTTGCAGGTAGAGATTTTATTTTTTTCTTCATCTGCTGCAATGAATGGTTGAACAGTTATCCTCCATGTTTTTTTTTGTCATTAAACTGTACTGTTTTGTACGTGATAAATTTCCCAGGTGCCCCTGCCTATCTCGTCATGGCCGTTACAGGCCTGGGTCCAGATGAGGAGGCAACATTCAGTCACGCGACACTGCTGGGGCCACAAGGGGAGGCTCTTCAGCAGGTGAAGCTGAACTCTTCCTCCTCCTCCTCAACTCCATACTCTGTAGATGAGCTGGTTGGGCTGGTGGAGTCAGTTCCCAGAATTCCATTCAGCATTCGACTTACTGGCAGAGATGGAAGAGGAAACACACTGGAGAGAGTTTCCACGGAGATGGTACAGCCCACTCATGTCCAGATACAGGTTGGTACTGTTCATGCTCGACTCAGCTGTCCTTCACTGTCATGTTGGGAAATTGAAGAATTTGTTCAAACGCTGGAAACGCTTTTCAAGAACTAAAGTCTTTCAAACTAGTAATGAGAGTTTTTTTTTTTTAATAAAAAAATTAAAAACTGGTCCTGTCACACCTCAGGTGTTGTCTGCCCCTCATCTGGTTCCCGGCCACAGCACGATGGTCACTTTCATGGTCTTAAACCGTGGCCCGGCCCGTCTTTTCAATCTGAGCATGGACGATGATCATGGTTATCTTCATAAGAGAGGATCTCACAGGTCGGTCGGAAGGTCATTGAACTCCATTTCACATGTATTTATATCTGGGTGCCATGGTAACTGTTTTTACAGAATGGAGCAGTGTTTTAGTCTGAAATATAAACTGTTTGGACAATGTCGGATATAGGTCAAAAGTTAATATCGGACATCCGGAGTGCCGAGAGATTTATTTGACTTACAGTTTCCCAGGAAAATAAACTGTAACTGTTTATTTTGTAACTGTTTAAATCAGTATTCGATTCAAACTGGGAGTTTTATTATTTTTTTCAGATTCCATGTTGCAGATCAGGGGTCTTTCCGGGGGGAGGTCGACCTCCACACGCCGGCCGCAGCTCAGGTGGGATCGACCGTCACCCTTACGCTCACCGTACGAGATCTTGACTCCACAGACTCCAATTACGCGGTCACTTATCTGACCGTAGTCCCTCCGGTGAGCCCACTGTTTTTATTCACCGTACGCTCCGCATCTGTTTGGGTACAAACTAATAAGAATCAATTCACCTGCAGGACCCCGACACCACACCACCGTCCTGCTCTGAGGCCGGACGACAGTCCACCTGTTTGTCCGTTTGCAGCGAGTCCACGTGGAGCGTGTCTCTGGTCCTGTCAGACAGAGGGCGCTCTGGTCTTGCTGCTCTCCAGCTACAAAAAGGTGAAGGTTTTCTGACTTTGTTCCTCAGCCCCCCCCTCACAGAGGAGGGTGTTGGGGGCACCAAGAGGGGCCCTGACCAGCACCAGGGACACCAGGACCAGAGACCCAATGGGGGCCACACCCGCCCCCACCCCCACCACCACCATCACCATCACAATCCCTACAAGGCCAGAGTAGAACGAGGAGACTCCCCTCTGAACGTGTCTGACTGGCTCCAGGGCTCGTCTCACCCACTGTGGGTGAGGTACACGTCCAGCTGCTGCTCCTCTCGGGCAGAGCTGCTGGTGTGGGATACCGCCGGAAACATGAGACGATGCCCCCCATAGACCGGTCAGCACAC